CGGTCGCCACGGCGACCCCTCTCACCAAGACGGCTATTGCGGTCCACCCGCAGCAGTGCTCGCGCCGCGGTGGCCGTGGTCGCCAGGGAGGTAGGGGTGGTGGCGCAGGTGGTGGTGGTGGTGGTGGTGGTGGGGGTGACGGTAGTCCGCCTGCGGGGACTACCACTGGTCGGCAGGAGCAGCAGCCCCAGCCGCAGCAGGAGCAGCCCCAGCCGCAGCCGCCGCCCCAGCAGCAGCCGCCGTCCCAGCAGCAGACGCCGCAGCAGTGGGCCCGTCTCCCGGCTGGCTGGCCCGGCACCTCCGGAGGTAGTGGCCGTGGTGGTGGCCCGCGCAGCTTGGTGTCTACCGGCGGCTCCGGTGCTGTCACCTGCCAGTACCAGCTTTAGACCGGGCCTCTTCGCGGCACTCTGTACCGCCGCCCGCACCCGACCGCCTGCTGTTTCCGCCGCCTCGACGATATCTTTCGTCGTCGCTTTGGCCCCGCCCCGGACCTCCCCGACTGGCACAGCCTGCTCCGCCAGGGCGTGCCGATCTTTGAGCTAGACATGGATCAGATAGGTGCTGCTTTGCATGCTTTGTATTCTGACGCTTCTAGTGTTGCTGGATCTTATTACCCTGTGTACTCTAGTTTAGGTGTTGCACCATTGTGTAGCTTAGCCTCCCCTGCTGCGTTAGGCGTAGGACTGCCTAGCTTGCCTAGTCTAGTCGCTGCACCGGCTCCGTCCCCGGCCTCCGCCACTGCGTCGCGGTCCTTCACTCTCGACTCCGGTGCTTCTGCCTGCTTTTTCGGCGACCGTTCCACGCTCACGCCGCTTGTTGTGCCTGCTGTTGTCTCTCTCGCTGACCCCTCTGCGGGTCCTGTCGTCGCTCGCAGTTCTACGTCCCTTCCCTGTCCAGCAGTTCCCTCGGGCTCCCTTACAGGCCTCCACGTTCTCTCGTTCTCGAGGAACCTGGTTGGTGTCGGCTGTCTCCAGGACCTCGGCGTCACCACCACGTTCCCCGGGCACGAGCGGTTCGCTGTCTGTTCTGAGGCTGTCTCAGGTTCCCCCCTTGCGACGTTCCCCCGGGACCCGGTGTCCGGTCTGTTTACCCTAGACACCGCTTCCCCCCCGGTTGGTGCATCCTCCCAGGTCGCTGCAGCTTGCTCATGTCGGTCCCTCACTCACTCGTCCCTTCTCTGGCACCACCGCTTAGGTCACCCTGCTCTCCCGCGTCTGCGTCACATGTCCCAGCACGGTCTTGTCTTAGGTCTCCCCGCGTCGCTCCCTGCCCTTCCTCCCTCGACTGCGCCACCGTGCACGCCTTGCGTCGAGGGTCGGCTCCGCCATGCTCCTCACTCCTCCTCGCTGCGCCCGGCTACTGCCCCCCTTCAGACCCTGCACCTGGACGTTTGGGGCCCTGCCCCCGTCCCCGGACCGCGCAGTGAGCGCTACTTCCTTGTGCTCGTCGACGACTACACGTGCTACACCACAGTGTTTCCCCTGGAGCGGAAAGCCAACGTGCCCGACGTTCTTCTCCCGTGGGTTGTGGCTACGCGTCTTAACCGCGGTCTCCCCGTGTTGTGTCTCCACTCTGACCGTGGCGGCGAGTTTGCCTCTGGTCGGCTTGGACAGTTCTGTCGTGCGGAGGGCATCACCCAGTCATACACCTTGCCGGACTCGCCACAGCAGAATGGGGTTGCTGAGCGCCGCATCGGCTTGGTCGTGGAGGTTGCTCGTACCCCCATGATTCATGCCGATGCTCCCCATTTTTTGTGGCCGTTCGCTGTTCGCTACGCTGCTCACCAGCTTAACTTGTGGCCAAGCTCCCAGCGGCCGCACGTTTCGCCAACCCTCCTTTGGACCGGGTCCCCCGGTGACGGGTCTGCGTTCCACGTCTGGGGCTGCCTTGCTCACGTTTGTGCCTCTAGCACAGACAAGCTCACTGCCCGCACTGTCCCCTGAGTCTTCCTTGGTTTTCCCCTGGACTCGTCTGACTGGCTTTTCTACCACCCGCCGTCTCACCGCTTCCTCCACTCTCGTGACGTCACCTTTGACGAGTCTGTCTCCTTCTACCGCCGCTTCCCTCACCGAGGTCTCCTGGTTGCCCCGCCCCTGTTCCTGGCTCCCTCTCCCCCGGTAGCCCCTGCTCCTCTCCCGCCTCGTCTTGCCCCGTCTGGTGTCTCTCACGTTACTCCCCTCCCGTCGGCTGTCCCCGTTGAGGAGTCTGCTGACTTTGGTGGTCCCCTCGGCCCGTCCTTGCCGCGTCCCCCTTCCCCGGTGTCTCCGCCTTCCCTGCCGCAGTCGCTGTCGCCACCGCCGCCGTCGCAGTCGCAGTCACCGCCACCGCCGCAGCCGCCGTCCCTGCCGCCGCCGCTGCCGCCGTTGGCCTCTGGGGGTGCTGGCGTTGAGGAGGGTGTTCGTCCTGCGGCGCCCGGGGGTGCCGCTGGAGGTGGAGGGGTTTCTTGCTCTGGGGGTGTTGGTTCTGGGGGTGCTGCTGTTGAGGGTTCCGCCGACGGTCGTCCTGCCTCTGCCAGTCCGAGGGTTCCGGCCCAGCTGTCGCAGCAGCCACAGCAGCCGTCGCCGCTGGTCTCCGCTCTCCGCCTGCTTGGCCTTCCCTCCCCGGACCGCTCGCCGGTGTCTCCCCCACCGCTTGCTGACCTTCCTGTCTGCGGTCCTGTGTTCCCACCGCCAGACTCTTCTCCGGCCCGTCTCCCTCCTCGTTCCCCTCCTGTGTCCCCTCCGCTGTCCCCTGACCCTACACCTCCGTCCCACGTTTGGTCTCGCCGTCCCTCCCGTGCTCGTCCCGTCTCTCCTGTCCTGCGCTCCCACCCTATGTTGCTCCGTTCCCACTCATCTTGTCCTCCCCTCCTCACGTGCCCTCCTCCCTCGTCCCTTGCTGTTGCACCTCCTCCGTTCTCTGACTACCTCCGTGCCGCTCGTCCCCTTGTCCCTCGGGTCCTTGCCTCTCTTGTTACCGACCCTGCTGTTCCTGTCTCGCGCCTTGACGCGCTTGTCGCTGCTGTCGCTGACTTCGCCTCTACCCGCCGCCTTGACTACGCTACCGCTCTGATCTCTAACCCTGCCCATCCTCCGTCCGTCGGGGGTGCTCCTGCCCTTGGCAGTGACGTCCTAGAGGACAGGCAGTACGAGCTTGCTTTCCTTTCCGAGGCTGCTCCCCATCTCTGCTCCATGCTGTTAGTCCCTGAGGGTGACCCAGACGCCTTCGGCATCCCGACCCCTCGCACCTACGCTGAGGCCACCTCCGGACCTTGGGCCTCTCAGTGGATAGCTGCCATGGAGCAGGAGATGGCATCTTGGAGGTCCACCGGCACTTACGTCGACGCATTTCCCCCGCCTGGGGTGAACGTAGTCGATGGTCGGTGGCTCTTCAAGGTGAAGCGCCCCCCTGGAGAGCCGCCTGTCTTCAAGGCGCGCTACGTGGCCAGAGGTTTCAGTCAACGAGAGGGGGTTGACTTCTTCCAGACCTTCGCCCCGACCCCGAAGATGACCACTCTTCGGGCGCTGCTACACGTAGCAGCACAACGCGACTACGAGCTTCACTCCCTCGACTTCTCTACTGCCTTTCTTCAGGGCAGCCTACACGAGCAGGTCTACTTGCGCCGACCACAGGGCTTCACTGGTACCTTCCCCCCTAGGACCCAGTGGCTTCTCAGGCGCCCGGTTTACGGCCTGCGTCAGGCTCCTCGCGAGTGGCACGACACGCTGCGGGCCACGTTAGCAGACCTGCAGTTCTTTCCGTCCTCTACTGACCCCTCTCTGTTTGTGCGTTCCGGCCAGACTCCGTTCTACATCCTTGTCTACGTAGACGATCTGGTCTTCGCTACTGCTGACAGGGACGCACTGGCCTCTGTGAAGGCCGAGCTTCTGAAGAGACACACCTGCACTGACCTTGGAGAGCTGCGTCGCTATCTTGGCCTGTAGATCTCTAGGGATAGAGCAGCACGCACCATCACTCTGACACTGTCACACTTGGTGCGTCAGGTCCTTCAGAGGTTTGGTCTTCAGTTCTCCTCCGCACAGCCCACACCTCTACCTGTAGACCATGGGCTCTCCGCTCCCGTTCGTGAGGAGCCAGTAGAGCCCAGTGGCCCCTACGCAGAGCTGGTGGGTTGCCGCATGTACCTGATGACTTGCACTCGCCCAGATCTCGCATACCCTCTCAGCATCCTGGCTCGCTTTGTGGCTACAGGCAGACACCGACCTCAGCACTGGTCTGCCGCTAAGAGGGTTTTGCGTTATCTTGCAAGTACATCGGGCATGGGGTTAGTGCTAGGAGGACGCAGGCCAGTGGTCCTTACTGGGCACACAGACGCTTCTTGGGCAGACGACTCTGAGACGCTCAGGTCGTCGCAGGGCTACTGTTTTAGTCTTGGTTCGGGTGCTATCTCTTGGAGATCCACTCGCTCGTCGTCTGTGGCTCAGTCTAGCTGTGAGGCTGAGATCTATGCTGGTGCCATGGCGGCACAGGAGCTCCGCTGGCTGACCTTCTTGCTCACAGACTTAGGTGAGCGGTCTAGCTCTGCCCCGTATTTCCTCCTGCGCGAGCTACAGCAGCGCCGCCAGGCCCGCGTATTTCACTTGGCCTCAGGTGCCAACACAGCTGATATCTTTACTTAGGCGCTTGCGCCTAAAGATCATCAGCGGCACTGCGTACAGCTTGGTCTTGTTCCTGTAGCTACTCACCTGTTAGGATCCTGATTGTGTACTCTCTATTATATATGCCTGTCAGACTGGCCTTGTGGCCTTACCTCTTGTGGCTGGACTAGTAGTGCCGCCCTGGCTTGCTTTAGTTTTGTTTGTATTCTTGTTGACTGGTCTCCAGACCCCTGCCTCAGTGGTTGGACTAGTAGTGCCACCCTGAGCTGTTCGCTTCTTGCTTAGCTTCACCCCTTGTCTAGCCTAGGGGGTGTGTCAACTTATACATATTAGCTATGTAGTAGTTTAGGCTGTACTGAGGTATGCTTCTAGTGAGTTCAACCAACTAGTATTTGTTCTAGGTTTCCACTTCTAGTCAATCATTCAGTTCTCACTTTAACACTTAGAGGGTATAAACATTTGAACAAAACCAACCTGTACCCTCATTCTAGTCTAACTTTTCTACTCTGAGAAATAAGACATCCACATCAGACATCCCCATCCATTCACCCTTCATCATGCAACACCTGCTTTCTTAACCGATCTTGTTAACCACTGTCTGATGTAGTGACCGTAGCTGGGCAGACCATTTGTCCAGAGCTGTGTATGTCCGCTGCCCTCTTGACCTGGAAACAAAGGACAGCAGATGGAGTAAAGAAAGGCAGAGGGGAGAAAGGGAGTGTAAGACGAAACTTCACTGACCAGTAGGCAAAACGGGCAGCTACAGTTTCAACATGCTCTGCTCTCCACATGCACAGGCTTCCAGCCACACCCCGTTCCCCCCCTATCCCAGCAAGAAGAAGCAGCAGCAGCAGCAGCAGTGAGTGTATGCATGCATGCCCCATGATGGTGACCTGTCGCCAAGTTCCAGCAGCTGGTTGACTTGGTCTATGTGGCCGTGCACTCTGTTGTCCAGAATGAGCGACACCAGCAGCTGCTCCACGTCCTTCTCAGGGATGTTCAGCTCCTGGGGGCCGCATCGGCGGAGGAGCAATGTCAATATAGAAGAAAGGCAGAGAAGGGAGGGACGAAGAGAGGGAAAGTGGTTGAGGTGGGGAGGATAGAGTGGGGAAAAGGAGGGGAGAATGGGGGAGAGAGAAGAGATGGAGACAGAGTGAGAGAAAGCAAAAGGTAGAGGCTTCTATTCTATAACATAAAGAGCAAAACCTTTGCACACAGCTTTGCAAGTCACGATTGGCCTATGAAACACAACGGAGGCTGACCTTGGAGACGAAAGGGATGCGGATGCGGGTGTACGGCTTGATGAGGCGCAGCAGCACCTGCGTGCGGATGTTCTTCAGCAGGTCCTCGATGTACATGCGGATGAACGGGTCGTCCATTATCGTGCGCCGGTTGCTCTGCACTCACACACGCACACACATGCACGAAAACACACGCATGCACATGCACACACACATGCACCAACACAAGTTGGGAGGTACAGGCGGAGAAATGAATGGAGATGCAATGAGATACGTGGCGAGGACAAGGATCAAGTGGGGTTCGCGTTCTCCAGAGTGACAGGGGGAACAGCGGTTCACATCAGCAGTAAATGTGCGCAAGTGACATGATTCTCCAAGCCATCTGTGGATGGCAGAGTGCTTGGTCATAGTTGTGGCATGCAGTATGTGGCACTTTGGCTCGTGCACTTGGCATGTGCCACCGCAAAGGGTGGCATAGGTCATGAGGTCCGAGATAGGTCATGCTTCATGTGTCATGCGGGATGCGGCGTGCGGCATGCGGCAAGGGGCATGTGATGAACCTCTGGCATGTGGGACACAACATGGAGCATGCGATACATACAGAACAATATCGCATCTGACATACCATCTCTTCCCCAAAAATCCACTTACCGAACCCCACCGATCCCCACACCTTGAGAATCTTCTCAAACTCCAGGATCTCGTTGCGCTGATATGCCGCCACAAGGTTCGTCATTGCCAGAATCTCCTTGTCGTTCTTGTACCTGAGGAGCGAAGGCGGGGACGGGTGGAAGGGCGAAGTTCGGTTGAGGGGGAAAGGAGAGAAAATAGAAGGGTGCGGAGAGAGGCCTGCGATAAATGAAGTAAGTGAGGATGCAGAAGAGAGAAAGCGAGTTAGGGGAGACGAAACAGGCAGAGGGTGTACCGTGAGTATGGCTACAAAAACAACCCAGCAGGATGGGAACGCGGGACTACGAATCGAGGAATGCCCATTTCCTAGTGCTGAGTATTGTTGCCCTGTGACTTGCCAATCCAGCAAACACTCTCATCCCACAAGACATAAACGAGCCCAACCACCCCTTTCCCAGCAGTGAGTAGCCCAGCAGTGAGTAGCCCAGCAGTGAGTAGCCCAGCAGTGAGTAGCCCAGCAGTGAGTAGCCCCTGCCCCATCTGGCTCACGGTTTGGCTTCCTGAGCGTCAAAGGGGTCGACTTGCGATTCCATGAGCATGTTTGCCAGCACCAGGTACCTGCCAGGGGGGCATGGGGCATGGGGCATGGGGCATGGTGAATGGGGAATGGGGAATGGTGAAAGGGGAATGGGGAATGGAGAGTGGCGTTGGCAGACCTTCATGGCATTTATGCGTGTGAACCGTGCTCATGGGCGTGCACACCTCCCTCCCTTCCCGCTCCCTCCATCACCACCCGTACCCTCCCTACCCCCCCCCCTCCCCCCTTTCCAGCTACCACCCACTTGAGGCACTGGATGCGGCACTGCGCGCCCACCTCGTCGTCGTAGGTCCTGAAGGCCTCAGATTGCGCCCTCCATTCCCCCATCCCTTCCCACTACCTCCACCATCACATGAACCCTCCCAAATCCCACCTGCCTCCCCCCAAAATCTCTCCCCCACTCCCCTCCCCCCCCCCCCCAGCTACCACCCACTTGAGGCACTGAATGCCGCACTGCACTCCCAAACATCCCCTCCCTCCCCAACCCCCCCACCCTTTCCCCAGCTACCACCCACTTGAGGCACTGGATGCGGCGCTGTGCGCCGGCCTCGTCGTAGTTCTTGAAGGCCTCGAAGAAGTCGGTGGCGGCATCGGTCCAGGAGCGCTCCGCCATGTGCATCTTGCCGCCGCACTCGTGGATGATGCCCATGATGCGCGGGTGTGGTATCGCCGACTTTATCGCCAGCGCCTTGTGGTACAGCTCCTGACAAAGGAGGGCGGGGAGGGGCGCGGGGGAGGGGGGAGGAGGAGGGGAGAGGGAGAGATAATTTGTTGAGAATTCTAAAAAATCACCTACAACGAGGAGGAGGGGAGAGGGGGAGATAAATGGTGCGGTATCTCAGACATTATCGCCAGTGACTTGTGGTGCAGCTCCTGGGGGGACGAGAGCGGGGAGGAGATAGGTGGGTTGTAGCGAGGGAAAGGACAGACAGCCTAAGCCTGAGAGCAGGACGTGCGAGCGAGCAGAATGGCACCTTGAGCTTCTTGTTGGTCTTGGTCTCGACGTGCATCTGGACCTCGATGGCATACACCTTCATAGCGGCAACTGCCTTTTGAGTCGACCCTATTTTCACACACACGCAAACATGCAATGTCACCCACACACCCACCCACCCACCCCCACGCACCTTGAGCTTCTTGTTGTTCTTGGTCTCGGTGTACATCTGGATCTCGATGGCGTACACCTCCAGCAGCTGCGTGCCCTTCTTCTGGTCGTCCGTGCCGTCGTCCTTCTGACACGACTTGTGCAGCTCCTTCAAAATCTGACCGGGGAGGGCAGGGGGGGTGAGGGAGGAGAGGGGTAAGTTGAAGGGGAACGGATGGGTTGTGATATGATATGAGGGAGATTGGGCTGTCCTTCTGACACGACTTGTGCCGCTCCTTCACAATCTGACATTCGGGGAGGGGGGGTGAGGGCGGAGAGGGGAAGTTGAGAGGGAAAGGGTGGATTGTGATATAAAATCAGGGAGGACGGGCCGTCCTCCTGACACGGCTTGTGCCGCTCCTTCAGGGTCTGACACGGCGCAGCGGGAAGGAGCCGAGGGAAATTGTGAAAGGGGAAAGGTTGGGGGCTGTGGTGGCGGGGAGGACGGTGTTGTCCTTCCGACACGACTTGCGCCGCTCCCTGCGGATCTGAGAGGGGGGAGGGGAGGGGGGAGGAGAGAAAGGGGGGGAGGGGGGGGTGTTGGGGCAGTGCACACAGTTATTTAAAGAACGACGCTAGGGTGGAACGGCACTAGTGATAGAGAATGTGATGTGCTGAAAAGATGGTGCAGAGGGCGGAACAGAATAAATACCAGTGCGGAATAGGAAAAAAATCACTGAGGGGGAAAAATCACTCTCCACCATCCTCCTCTACCCACCAAACCCCGCAGTAAGCCATCCCCCCAATCCGCCGTCGCTCTCCGTCCCTATCATCACCCAATCTGCTCCCTTGCCCCCTTTACCCCCTCCCCCCTTCCCCCCTGGGTTTCTTTCCCACCTTGCTCATGCGGCCGTACTCCCCCAGGTCGAACCACAGCTTGCACAGCTTCAGGTTCGTCTTGAACCACAGGCGCTGGGGGGATGCACATGCCGGTATGGGGGGGTGGCACGCCGCAGTGGACGGCAAGAGGGGCAGGGGCAGGGGGAGGAAACGACATGAGGGGTGGTGGGGTGGGGCAGGGCACATGCTTGGGGAGGGTGGAGTGGGAGGTGAAATGAAAAGACATGGCAACAATGGTGAAACTTGGGGGTGGGGGGAAGGGGGGAGAGGGAGTACGGAGGAGCGGGAACAGGTGTGTTAATCAGGTGTAATAACCCTAAACCCTGAGGAGGGGTGTAAAGACATGGAATGAGGGGGGTGACGAGATATCAGTGCACACGTGTACAAAAGAATAGAACTCTTCAGTGCAACCCAATGGCCCCGTGCCCTTCTGTCAACACTTCTGCACTCATCCCGCTGTAATTTCCCAGGCCACAGGAACGCAGAATATTCTAGGTTTAGGGTGGTCTGCGTGGGAGGGGTATCTCTGTGTAAGGGAGACTTAGCCAAATTCTCTAGGATAGAGGGTAAAGACAGTAATGTTCCTGCTGTGAATGTTAGCCGATTCTTTCTAACTTTCGTGGGTGTAGGTGAGAGGAGTATCTCTGTTTGGGAGGGACTTTGGGAGGGACTTCGCCAAGGGTCAAGGAAGGAATGTTCCTGGTTGTTCCTCGCCAAAATTCTGGGTTTCGGGTGGGGCGAGTGGGAGGAGCACGGTATGTCTGTGCGTGGGGGACTTGGTCATTTTTGCTTGGTTGCGGGGTTAAAGAAGGAATGCTGCTGGAGTTGGGGATTTAGCCGATTTTTTTTAGTTGTGCAGGTGTGGGAAGAGTTATAACTGCCTGTGAGGGACTTAGCCGAATTTCCTGGGTTCGGGGGTTCAGCCAGCCCTATTTAAACCTGCAGCACCTCCTGAGAGTTTTGTAAGATGTAGAAGCAGACGATCGGCTCAACAATCCGGACCCCAAACCCCGTGGCCCCAATTGAGAGCCTGCACAAGCCCCCCTGACGAGCTGAGCCAGGGATCCTGAGGACCCGGCTCGAGGCGAGCCGAGCCGGATCAACCCCGAACGAGCCGAGCCGAGCCAGGCTCGGCTCATGCCCATGACTATTCTGGATGTTCGGAAAAATGTCTCTGCCACCCAGGTGCGAGGAGGAGGGGAGGGTATACTTCTTGGCAGGTTTATCCCGGTTGCCCCTCCAGCGAATTCTGATCTGCCCGGAGTCCCCCGCAACACCACTTCTATGAATTCCGGAAACCCCGATAACTCTACCCGTTCAAATTCCGGAACGAGCCCAGCGCCAACTCTTAATGTTTTTTCATTCCAGGTGATTACCCTTGAAACATGAGCCCTGACCCCAACCCAACCCTCAAATGAACCCCCTCGTCCCTCCCTCATCTCATTCCCCGCCTCCTCCTGCGCAGCAAAGTGACTTAAGAGGCACCGCATATGTCCATACTCCACTCGTCGCCCATTATCCCTACTCATCGCCCCCCTCCCCTCACTCCCTCACCCCCCCCCCTCCCTTTTTTCGTTGCGCGCCTCCTCGAGTGCCAGCAGCGTGGTCTGGTAGAACTCCTTACACTCAATAACGCATTCCCCGTCTCACCTTCCCACACCTCATTCCCCACCAACCCACTCCCATCCCTCTCCCCCATCCCCCCCCCCTCCTCACCCCTCACCACCCCTCTCCCTTCCCCCTTCCCCACTCCCTCCTCCCCCCCCCACCTCGTTGCGCGCCTCCTCGAGCGCCAGCAGCGTGGTCTGGTAGAACTCCTGCAGCAGGTCGAGGTTCTGGCTGGTGCTGACCACGTCCAGGATCTTGTTGATGCACTTCTCGCTGTAGTTGCGCGTCACCGCCGACCGGATGTACGTCAGCATCTCGCGGTACGCCGCCATCATCTCCGCCACGCGCGCCTCCCGGTAGTGCAGCTTCACCGTCTGCTTTAGCGCCTTGAAGCCCCTGGGAGAGAGGGGGAGATGGGAGGGGGAGGGGGGGGAGGGGGGGGAAAGGAGGCAAAATAAGGGGGGAAACGGGGGGGCGTGTGGCGGGGGGGGGAGGGGGGGGGGAATAGTGAAAGTAGGGGAGTGTGGAAAGAGCGGCTGAAAGAGCGAGAGGGAAAAACAACGAGAGGCACCAGAGGATGGTCAAGGCAGGCGAGCTGCGGGCCGATGCTCCCGAGATCCCAAGCTACCAACCAGCATCACTTCACACTCCAACAGAATAAAGCCTAGCGGCGGCAACGAGTGCATGAGAGAGAATGCGAGGGAGGGGGTGTGGAAGTGCGTGAGCCGTGTGCTGTGCACGTACCACTCGCCCTTCTCCCCCTCCATCTGCACCACCTCTGCAAAGCCCGCTAACGCCCCCTCTGTGTCCCGCTCCACTAGGCCTGGGGGTAGGTCGAGTACGCGAGGCAGTCGAAGGACGTGGCAGGAAAGAGAGAGAGGGGTGTGACGGGGGAGAGTGGAAGAAAGCGGGGGGCGGGTAAGGGAGAGGGCAGAAGGGAGGCAGAGAGCGAGAGACGATGACGGCGGGAGGGGCAGAGGAGCCATGGCATGACAGCGGAAGGAGCAAGGTAGGTCCCATGGCAAGTCAAGGGCACCGATGACAAGCGCAGAGGTAGGCAAGATCGAACCCATGGCACGGGTCGCGGGGAGGTCGCGGGTCGCGGCCCTCGCTACAGGCAGGCTCTAGGGTGGGAGCTGTGATGCCCCTTCACCTCGCAGAAACGAATTCCGTACTGTTACCCTCACAGTTACGGATACCGTTATCGTTACCGTTAGCGTTACGGTTATGGTTACCTTTGGAATTGTAGTACTGGTTCTCAATGTCGACATCCTGCTCCTCGGGCTCGTCGTCCGAGTACTCGAATCCGTAATCTTCCATGTCTGATGCCGCGGCAACGAGTAGGGCCAGATGCATGAATCAAGCGGGAACGGGACGTAGATGGGAAGGATGACGCGGGATGGAGAGGAACGGGTGGGGATGGGGCATGAGGGCGGAGATCGACCGACAAATGGATTGGGTGCGAACAGATGTAGCCAACACTCCGCGAAGGCAGAAAGAGCGCACGAGCCTTGCATCGAAGGGAAGATTAGACGACAGGCGTGACACGTGTGGGGTCAGTCTGCAACTACGACGCAGAGACGAGGAGACGTGAGGAAATCGACGCGTGAAGACGCACCTTCGTCCGCCATGGCTGTGCCTCGGCGTAATAAGCGGCCTCGAGTCGCGAAAGTGAGCCGAAATCAAGCGGGATAAGAAAGAAGAGCAGAATGGAAACAAAGTGCGACCGGAAAAGCCGCAGCCGCAGACGGATTCTAAGGAGGTAAGGCGGTATGCTTCAGGAGACTGACTGACGAACTAGTTTCGTCCGCAGGGGAATCAGCGCGGTATGCCCGCACCGGAGTTCGAACGATGAGTTAAATGTAATCATCTACATTAACCATCATAACCCAATCAAAACGCAATCATCAGTACTATATTTCATAATCTAATAAAAATTAATCTTGATCTTTTGACACTACATGTCCAATGCATAATTGGTGACTTCCATGCACTGCTACCTCAGGGAACATCTAAACTACTCCATATGTGTAAGACATTGTTAGATTCCCTCCCACCCTCAACAGGCCTCACATTCGTAATTCATGAACACAGCATGTCTCAAATTCATTTTATTTTTATGCTTTAAGTTCTTGAATTAAATACAATTGTCATTTCCAAAATGTAGGCTGATACATTGCGGTTGAACATTATGGGACGAGAGCATTGTGTCAAACACATTTGTGTGTGATGTTGTATACCATATAGGGTTGTGCTTTAGAGAGTACAGCCCCCTAGTGTATAATGCCTTGTACTCTCACATTCTAGTCATTCTTTCAGTTTGATACATTGCTTGACCACCGCACTCAAAAGCACAGTAAAAACTCTTAGAAACTTAGGACTCAAGGTTCTTAAACTTAGGAGGCTAGGTTGGCTAGAATACTAGGAAGAAGGCCGTCATGGAATGGCGTGAGGAAAAACGGATCTAGGAAGGGAGAGTATGTCGAGAAGAAAGGTGGTTGGATTAGGAAGAGAGGGGAGTACAAGGAGGGGTTTGTACCCCCTACAGAAAGGTTCAGTAACAACCTATCAAGCCTATATTAAATTATAACTTATATAATTTTAACACACCCCCTAGGCTTGGTAGTGTCAAGCCCACGCACACCCCCGCACCCACACCTACACCCACACCCCTTAGCCCAGCACCCCCATTCCCAGCAGGAGCCGCAACGACTCCGGAAGAGGGTAGGTCTCACGGCCCCTTGAGACGGCAATGGCGGCAGCAGCGACAGTGACGACGGCGGCGGCGGCGGCGGTGTGCGGCGGCTCCAGGCCTGCGGCAACAGCGGCGGCGCCGGCGGCTCGAACGACAGAGGCTGGTGCGGCGGCCCCCGCCCTCTCGGCGGCATGTCCTGTCTCCTCGGCGGTGGAGAGGTCCCTCACATGGCAGTCATCGGCTGCAGCAAGCAAGGGGGGGATGCAGGGGAAGCAGGTGCAGGTGGGGGGGGGAGGGGAGGGGGCGGGGCGAGGCGAGTCTTCAGCGACGCGCCATAAATGGCGCGGGGCTTACTGGCGGGAGGACGTCGTCCTGAGGGACGCCCGTCTGTGGCGAGCGGGCGGCAGGCCCGGCGACGCCACAGACGTCGCTCGGCCGGCCGCAGCTCGACGATGCCGTCGGCTGCCGCAGACGCCGCCACAGCGCACCGTCGATGTCGCAGCGGCGAGGCGGACGGGCGACGGCTGCACCAAGGGGCCGTCGCGACACCTTGGCGCCGCGACGGTAGGCAACGAGGGACCGTCGCGACATCTTGGTGCCGCGACGGCAGGCAACAAGGGGTCGTCGCGACATCCTGGCGCCGCGACGGCAGGCAACAAGGGGCCGTCGCGACAACTTAGTGCCGCGACGGCAGGCAGGCAGAAAACCGCGAAGGCTGCGAATGCAGTAGGAGTACGCAACGGGAACGTAGGGAGAGGGTCCGGTGGACACGACCGGCTCTGATACCATCTTAGAAACTTAGGACTCAAGGTTCTTAAACTTAGGAGGCTAGGTTGGCTAGAATACTAGGAAGAAGGCCGCCATGGAATGGCGTGAGGAAAAACGGATCTAGGAAGGGAGAGTATGTCGAGAAGAAAGGTGGTTGGATTAGGAAGAGAGGGGAGTACAAGGAGGGGTTTGTACCCCCTACAGAAAGGTTCAGTAACAATCTATCAAGCCTATATTAAATTATAACTTATATAATTTTAACAAAAACTGCAGTGTGTAAGGAATTTCCATTCCTTACTGAGTCGTACGCTAGTGCGTACACCCGAACTGTCAAACATATACATTGTATGTTACTGTAGATTATTTAGGGTTGTGCCTGAGAAAGTACAACCCATTAGTTTATATACCCTTGTATGTCTTGTTCTAGTCAACACTTTCACTTTAACATGGTATCATGAGTAGGTAGGTCCCCCCCCCCCTAGTGCTTCCGCCCTAGGTCCTAGCCGCCCCGCACATGCTGGCCCGTCTCCTAGCCAGCCCCGTCGCCTAGCTGGCCCCGTAGCCCAGCCCGCCCCGTCGCCTAGCCGGTCCCGCCTCCTAGCAGGCCCCGTCGTCCAGTCGGCCCCGCCTCCTAGCTGGCCTCGCCACCCAATCGGCCCCGTCGGCCCCGCCTCCTAGCTGGCCCCGCCGCCCAAATCGGCCCCGTCGTCCTAGCTAGCCCCGTTCTCCTAGACGGCCCCATAGCTCAGTCGGCCCCGCCTCCTAGCCGGCCCCGTCTCCAAGCTGGCCCCGTTGCCTAGCCGTCCCCATCGTCCGACCGGCCCCGTCGCCTAGCTGGCCCCCGTCGCCTAGCCGGCCCCGTAGCCCAGCCGGCCCCGCCCCCTAGCCAGACCCGTCGCCTCTCCGGCCTCGTCTCCAGTCGGCCCCGTCTTCCGTCCGGCCCCGCCTCCTAGCCGACTCCGACGCCTAGCAGGCCCCGTCCCCTTGCTGGCCCCGTCGCCTAGCCAGCCCCGTCGCCTTGCAGCCCGCGGCCCCGTCTCCTAGACGCCTCGCCGCCGTCCTCGGCCCTCTGCACCACGCTGCACCGCCCGACACCGCTCCGTAGCGCATTGCACCGCTCTGCACTGCACTGCACCACTCTGCACTCCACTGCACTGCATTGCACCGCTCTGCACCGCACTGTACCACGCTGCACCGCACCCTACCATATTGCACCTCCCTCTACCGCACAGTACCGCACTGCACCGCACATCACCGCTTTCTGCCGCTCTCTACCGCACAGTACTGTCTTTCTCCTGCTGCTGCAACCATGATGGCGGACTCAGTCCTGCGTTTCGATGCGAAGGGGCAGCCGATTGAGTTCGACTCGTGGCTCGTCGACCTCCACCGTCACTTCACTGGTCAGCGGCAGGACGGCCACTCCCTGGCCGTCCACATCGACAGTACGCTCCCCTGTCCGGACCCCCCTGCTGCCCTCCCCGCTGCCCCATCTCTGCTGACCGTGAGTCTGCTGCAGCTGCTACCCTTGCCCGTGCTGTCTGGTTGCCGCGTGATGCTGTCGCACAGCTTGCGATTAGTCATGCCCTTCCCCTGTCTGAGCGCCCCCGCTTTAGGACCGTCAGGACTGCGCTGGAGTTCCTTGAGGCTGTTGTTGCACGCTATTCCACCCCGCCCTCTGCCTTTGTAGATCGCCTGATCCTGCCCATGCTCTTTCCTGACCTTGCGTCTTTCCCCACTTTCGCTGACCTAGCCACCCACCTGCACACGCTAGACACGACCTGGCGCGCTGCCTGTACTGAGGCCCAGATTCGTGTGTTTCAGCCCCCCATCTGCTCTACCCTCTTCCTGCTTGCCACCCGCCTCCCTGGCCGCCTTGCCACCGCCCGCGATCACTTCCTTAGTCTCCACCCTGCTGACCTCACCCTCACTGACTTTGTCGACACCCTGTCTGCCATAGAGACTCGTCAGCGCTCTATCGCCCAGTCTAGCGGTACCGTGCCAGTCTCTATATTTCAGGGCTGTGCCCTTGCTCATTGCTCTTATTCCAACGGTTCTACTGCGGTTGCTGAGACAGCTCCAGCTGTGGAGACTGCCGCCGCAGTGCAGTTTCGTCATGGTAAGGGTCGCCGCCCCAAGTCTCGGCGCGGCGGAGGTAGCGGAGGAGGGGGTGGTGCCAATGGTGGAGGTGGCTCGCCTGCTGGTAGTACTGACGAGGGGGCTGGGACTCGTGCCCCGGAGCAGCAGCCCCAGCAACAGCAGCAGCAGGTGCCGCAGCTGGACCAGCAGCAGCAGAAGCAGCAGGTGCAGCAGCAACAGCAGCAGCAGCAGCGGGAGGTCGGCCGACTCCCGACCGAGTGGCCTGGAGCTGGAGGTGATGGTGGTCGCAGTGGTCGCTCGCGCGGCGTGCCGTCGGGTGGTGGTCCGAGTGACGAGCGCTGCCAATACCAGCTCCAGACAGGTCCACGCCGCGACCTCGTGTGCGGTAAGGTCGGCCATACCCCCACTCGTTTCTTTCGTTGTCTAGACAACCTGTTCCGTCTCCGCTTCGGCCCGTCACCTCACCTCCCCGACTAGAACAGTCTGCTCCGTCGTGGTGTTCAGATCTTTGATATGGACATGGATAAGATTAACTCTGCTTTGTATGTACCGTATGTTGATGAGTCTAGTGTGACTAGTTCTTATTACCCTCTGTTGCCTAGCGTAGGTGTGCCCAGTGTACCTAGTTCAGACTCCCCTGCTGCGTCAGGCGTAGGATCCCCTGCCTTGTTTAGCCTTGGGTCCTCCCTTGCTCCTCCGACCTCTATCACGGCTGCCGCGCTCTCCTTCACCCTAGACTCCACTACACTTACGCCGCTTTCCACTCCTGCTGCAATTGCTCTTGCAGACCCTTCCTCCGGTCCTGTAGTTGCGCGTAGCTCCGATCCTGAGTGACGCATCGGTTTGGTCATGGAGGTTGCTCGTACCTCCATGATCCATACCGGTGCACCCCATTTTATGTGGCCGTTTGCCGTTCGCTACGCCGCTCACCAGCTTAACCTGTGGCCGCACCCTCAGCGGTCGCAGGTTTCGCCGACCCTCCTCTGGACCGGGTCTCCTGGTGACGCGTCGACGTTCCACACCAGGGGCTGCCTATCTCACGTTCGTGCCTCTGGCACGGACAAGCTCACTGCCCACACGGTCCCCTCTGTCTTCGTAGGTTTCCCCCTCGACTCGTCTGACTGGCAGTTCTACCACCCGCCTTCTCACCGTTTCTTTCACTCTCGTGACGTCACTTTTGACAAGTCCATCTCCTTCTACCACCGATTTCCCCAGCGTGGTCCCCAGCGTGGTCCCTCGGTCACTCCCCCCCAGTTCCTG